TGCCCGGATTTTTTTCAAATTATGCTGTTAAATTATAAAATTACATACTGCGTGGTTAGTTAAAGATGGAACGAGTTAGATTTTCATGAACTAAATTAAAAGCGACAAAATTACTCTGTAACAGTGCAATAACTGCGCTAAACTCATAAAATTGCTAAAATAGAATTCCCACCGTGCGGCTGGTATGCTATAATTGAATTTACCACACATCCAGTGTATACCTTATGTACTGTAATTTGGAAATTGGACCGCATGCTTTTATTCGCGGTAAATACCATCCAATTCAAGCCTACAAGTATTGGTGATTAATTGGCTTGAAAACCTCAAATTGTTAAATTGCCAAAAATAATCAGACCATGATATGAAGCACAACTCAGCTATTTTAGTAAAATATTCGGAGGATGTGAGCCCGGGGCAAGGTACGTTGCAGATAACAATGAATTGTTGAACAATACTAAAATATAACGAATACAACAGGTCCATGCTGGCTAGCCTGATAGCTAAATTAGTCCCCAACACTGCACAATGATAGCTAAACTGCTAAATTAGTCCCCAACACTGCACAATGATAATTATAATAGGTAGGGGGCTGGTTGAGACAGCTGTGGAACACATGAATAGCCATGAGGTTGCACAAGTTGAGAATGGATACTGAATAATAAACTGAAATAGCTCCAAGGTCCGTTGTTATCGATTATAGTATTGTGTACTGGACGACGGACGCTCCGAGGTGAATGTAGGACGATGAAGCAAACAGACAGTTTCTAACGAGTAGGGACAAAGGAAGAGGAGAATTTAAATGGTGAACTTGAAATAAGCTAAGAGCTAAAGGGTGATCTGAAATAGACAAAAGGGGTTTAACCGAGCAAAAAAGTCTTGCAGCAAATAGCAAACTATCGCACGACAATCACAATGCGAGGGTCACGTGGCAAGCCTGTCACGTGACTAACCTAGAACCTACAAATGATAACGTTCGATGGGATCATCTGAAACAAAACAAGGCGGAAGGTGTTTTGTTTGGGAAAAAGTTCAGATAAAGGAGCTCTGAACAAGTGCAACAATAGGGGTTAGGTAATCCAATCAGCACATTTCGTTTGATCACGTGACTCGCCAAGTCCAATGACCGAGCTTTAATTTATCACGTGATTTTGCAAAAACAGCACGTGGCTTTACTGTCCAGGGAACCTTGAAACATGGAGAGTATAGATAGAACTAAAACAGTTGATGTAGTAACAAGCAATGTTGAAAGTAAGTTTACAAGACGAAAATAGGAGTGTGTTAAGGTGAGCTGAATTAAGCAGACGGAAGGAAGTTAATTTTGAAAAGTCAGTCAAGGGTGTGAAATGACAAATTAGGAATTAAAATACCTTCAGTCCTTTCGAAATCATCCAATAATCAGGGATGATAATCGCATTGAAAATCATAATAATATAATTTTCACTCGAGCGGAGCTGTGACGTAGTTTCTACCGTTGGAGAAGACTTTAAAAATCTTTTAATCACAAAGATAAGCAAGAAAACACTATGACGGGAAAATTAATTTGAGGTAGGAGGTTAGGATGAGGTTAGAGTTGAGGTTGGAAATAGGATAGTGAAGACGATAACCCGTATTAGTTATACGGATCGTGAGATCTCTACTTAGTATCCTTACCATTGTTAAAACAAGATCCAGGAGATATGGAGTCTTAGAATAGTTTTTATTGAATTATGAATTGCAACATCGACTCATTAATTTGTCATGTGGTAACTGAACTTTAAAGATATAGCCAGGTTCACTTAGACCTCCGATAATGAAGATGAATCATTGATTACGACAGATTGCAGCAAGGTAGCGTTTTACAGTAGACAATACAAAGCCAACCTTTCACAGGTAAACTCTCAAGTAGTACTCACAACCTTCGCACACCAAACCTCAACATATCACGTGATAGAAACCATAGTAACCACGTGATAGAAACCAGGACTCCTTGTTGGCTGGGTATATTAATGCACGTCTGCTATCGGCGGATGAACAGTTCGAGAGCGTGAGTACCATTAGCTCGTTATTAAGTATTATCACCGGGCTAAAAACTACTTGACATCAGTTACAGAACCGCAGGGGTTAATTAGCTGAAATTAGCTACTTATTTGAGGATCAGTAGGCCAACGGGTATTATATTTATCTCCGTCCGAAATTAATATAATCAGTGCAACTACTTAAACAATCAAAATTTCAGGGCACGAAACGACGAAGAAATAAAAAGGAAGATAAAATAGTAAAGATTTAATGCACAGAGTTAAGTTTATTAGAAGATAATATAATAAAGAAGTGCCATAGATTAAGACGGACCTCAGACATGACCAAAAGACTAATGATATTGGCACTAAACTGATAAAAGGGTCTGCCATTTTAGACCTGCCAAGATTCCAATGAGTGGGAAATGCCATCTCCGATCCCAAGACACGATTGTTGAACCTTATACCACCGAATTTAAACCACTGACTTTATTAGAAGTCTGTCTTACTTATAATTTGAACCTTGAGCTACACAATGCTAAAATGTGTCAGGAATCAGGAACCATAGAAAATGCAACCTCTTTGCTGGAGCCCGATTGGCTCCAAATCATAAAGGAGGCAAGAAATAGAAAGCAATCGGCTACTACTACTACAAAGCAAGTAATATAAACTTGAGAATGGAATGAATGAGGTACGAGCCCAACTCCATTTCGCCCCGGGGCATTTTAGAGGAAAGCACTTAAAGAAAACATAGGACCAGTCCCCCCTCATTCAGCGGGCACCATTACCTGAGGAGACCAACGCAATGAAAGCCAAACATAAATGTAGCGAGAAATATTACGTTATAATATTGCGATGTGTGCCCTGTTGCGAGTTCTCGTATAAATGCAGATTTGTTGGTTTGGGCATGTGCCTTGCAGCGCTGTATAATGGGACGTTACGAGAGGGTGCAGTGTAATGACGGCTTTATGTGAGAAGTAACTGTACGTGTTGACTATTGACTGTTGTGGTATAACACACATCGTACTTATAATTACGATTAAATACGATTGGATGTTTGACAAATTATAAGCGTTTAGTTATATAATAAGTAATGTTGTTAAGTAATATAATGTGTCACCACGATAAGTACTTTATTAAATATTCTATCTGGGAAGGCACGAGGTGACATGTGACTGCTGGGGGATATTCGTAATAGAAAGGCAAATAGCCGATGTGTTATTTAAGAATACAATAGTTAAACCGATCGGAATCTGGCATTTTGACCAAGAGTCGTTTCACGTGCAAAAATAAGGATGAAATGAGGAGTCGAGGGAAATTATAGTTAATATAAAAGAGTAAACAATAAGTAAGACTGGATTGACTGGGAGGCATTATTATCATATTGGATCCCACCTCTGACCTCACCAAGTATTTCAAGAATTAGCTTGTAGGAATTTTCTCGGATTCTATGGACATCCGAAATATAAATATTATATTATTATTTAAATATCATATTTTATGAAGTATTGAATATAGGCAACTGAATGTTGCAACACCAGCACATGAATCTCGTTATATACAAATACTATACGTTGTTTATATAATCAAATAATATAGAATATGTGCGAATGTTGATTGATGAACAAGTAAATCAACGAAACTTTGAAACATATTTTATTGTTTCAAACTACAGAAATTCGTGCTGACAGGTAACTGGTACGAGTAAAAAAAAATTTATATTGATGAAAAATGTTAGAATTTATGGTTCCGATTAGCAAGAGTCGTAAAATTTTTGCTCTTGAAACAGCGAACTTAATTTTAAAATAGCAGAAGTTTTAAGACAAACATCAATAAAATAACCACAATCATGATAATAATCAGAATCCTAATTTTTAAGCCAAAGTTTTAACTGATCGGAAGACTCAGAGTCGGACACTAGTCAGTAGTGACAGGCACATTTATTAATTTCCATACCACAAAGCCATAACTATACAGTTTACTATACAATCACTGACGAATTACAAGTCAACACGTGCAGAATACAAGCAAAAAATCATAGTTTTAACTGATCGGGAGACCCAGAGTCGGGCACTAGTCAGTAGTGACAGGCACATTTATTAATATCCATATCACAAAGTCACAACTTTACAGTTTACTATACAATCACCAACGAATTACAAGTCAACACGTGCAGAATACAAGCAAAACACAAGAGGAATACAAGCAGAACAAAGACAGGACACTCTTTCAGAGAATTCCAACGAAATTTAACACGCCCCCCTCGTCACAAACAAATTTAGACTTTCCCTAAAAACAAACTTCCCCAGACTTAAATCCTCGACTAGATATCGCCAATCTGGTGCGACTGGTAGCCTCCTCCCAGCCACAGACAGTGAACACGCCATGAAATGCGTGCTGTAAATCATTTTCACGAGCAGTTTCCCCCTTATCGTTGCACGTTGAGGTAGTTTAACCCCGACACAGATCTGCCAGTATCATTATCGTCACAACCGCAAAACGCAGTTACTCATGTTCAGTGTTTACAATGGTTGGAGGGTGGGAATCGGCGTGATTTGTTTTTCAATAGTAACAGAAATATGCTAGTTTTGATCAGGGATAGCATGGCGAAAGAGGGGAAAGAGGGAATTATATTTTAGGCATGATAAAATCTGTGATGCATTCGGTAACATTAACTAATGGGGCGTTACTTAATTCGCATAATATCGAAAATCTCAAAGCCAGTATCATTTTCGACATAACCGCAAACATGAGTAGTTAAGTATTTACAGCGGTCGGAGGGTGGGAATTGTCGTGACGTTTTTTGTAAGTTAAGATCGTGGTCTGTGACATGGTCACATCTTTTAAACGGGGCGACAACAGGGGAATATGGGAGTTTTTTGTTTGATTTGGAGATAATCTAAAGAGCCAGGGTTGCTAAATACTGAATAACAGACAAATTCAAGCAAGCTTTTCATCGGCGAAAAGCAAAATAATCATTTTAATAAAAATGTAATTTGCACATACCTTTGACTTGGACAGCGAAAGTAGCTTGGGCGTTCCCAATTTCATTGGTACAGTGACATTGGTACATCCCACTCGATATCGCCTTCACGTCAAACAGTGTCAGAGATTTCTGAGGAAGGGATAAGGATAAAGTTCAGTGCTTCCACGATGAAGGGTAGTGTTTGATCTAGAAATTCTATGGCTAATTTTTTTCATAAACAAAAACAATGAGAAGAAGATATGAGTAGAGCTCAAGCTTATAGAACAAACTAATAGCCAATCAAAGCTTCTCAGAACTCCTGAAATTTGAAAATTCATGGAAGTGGAGCTTTCGATTTAAAATTTGATTCTGAAAATAGAACTATTAATAAACCAATACTTACATCTTCGTTAATGTTGTTATTAATAGGTTCGGTGTTCTTGAACCATGTAACTTCCGGCTCGGGAATGCCTAAACAATCACACGGAACGTTCAGATCTCCCCCTTCCATAACGGTCAGGTTTCTGCTCGGCAATGGGAATTCTGGTGGCTCTGAAATTTCGTGTGGTTAATTCTTCATTCGACAAGGAGAAAAGGGTTATTCACTCGAGATATTTAATATCTGTTATCAGATCGGTTCAGTTACTCGATACCTGATCATAAGAAATAATTCTTAATACTGATAGATGAGTCATGAGAAATGTATGTTGTGGGCACGTGTAGACAGTGAATCAGACTTTAACAAACATGTACAAACATAATAATATGTGCATTGGCCATTGTGCAATATAAAAGTCTTCAACTTCGATACAAGATCGTGTGCACGAAACACAGTTAATGAAAGTTCGTAAAATTTAAGCGGGCCAGAAAAACGAAATATTCGATCTCGTGGCCGGTAACGCGCGCACATGTTATAGTCGATGTTGTCAACAAATTGCATACCTTTAGATACTATTGTGATTTTCGCGCGCTACGTAAAATCTACCAACTTGTGGTCCAATTTCTAATAGTGAACTCAAGCAATTTGCGGCTTATGATTCCAGACAGTTTTCAGATAACAGACAACACCGTAATTCAGCATAAACAACCTAATTACAGACAACCAAAAAAGAGTTTAACGATCGTTCAAAACCGCCCGAAATTGAAGAAGCTAACTGAAAATTTGTCTGAAAACCGACCAGATATACTCAGACACAGTAAGCTTTACCCTTAATATTGCATGTGCAATCACTACGGACTTAAGGACATGCTTCATTGCCATTAGAGACCGTTGGGAAGTTCTTATCAACCTATAAGATCTATTAACCTGGATGAACTCGATCTTAACCTGATAGCCGATAGATCCAAACACTGAATCATCTGTAGATCCAAGGAGAAGATATGAGTCAACAAGTGTGGAAGGATAAGTGATGTTACTTGATATTATTGAGCTTGTGTCTGATGATTGACTCCTTAGGTACAAGGTCGTGAGTCTCTGATTGGTCTGAGACACAAAATATATCATTATTCCGATACAAATCCATTCCACAGAAATTGTACGCCAGACCAAATGAAAGCATGCACATAATTGAAGAGACTCTTTCACAATTTGATTTATCAATCAAATCACAGATTGCATATTATGGAAGCATGTATCATTATTTCGTATGCAAACTAAACCTATTCAAGTGTGTTAACATACTCTAAAGATTACACGGGTAGTAGCTGACTGGGGTGGTGAGCAATGACTGTTGACCTACACACAGTTCGATTACATATTCAGTGGTCACTGGTCATAATTTTTTCACTCAAAGTTCAAGTCGGATATGCGGATATGCGGATATGTGACATAATTAGACGGCAGACTGTGGAATGCGTAAACCGTAAAACCACGAAACTTAAAGCTCACGTACTCAGTTCTCATGCAGTTGTTTGTTGACTTGAGGAGCACAAGTTTAATGCTGGGATCAGGACTCAAGGAAAAAGCTTAATAATTTAATGTAATTTTAAAAGTGTGTTCACTGAATATTGGCCCAATATTTGATAGGGCGAGCCTGAATTCGTTCAGAAGACAGTCTGGATCTGATTTACCAACTCATTCGTATCTCTTAGGCTAGAGGATATGGAGTCTCTAATGATTCGTCTAAGTACAGGATTCAGCCTAATGCAGACTCCAGAAATAGACCTACAGTGCAATGGGAGACTTCTAACTCACTTCCGTGTAGAGCACGGAAAGCAAAGTATAGTACACACTCCAGATCTTGTTTTCAAGTACGATCTGATGCAACATTCCTAATGTATCTTGTTTGGAAATCTAGGATGATATCTCCAGGATTCAGTCGTGAAATATCAAATGAGGATGAACTTGTAACATATAGTTTCGGATTAAGGCGATTAAATCAAACAAGGACTATCAGACAGCAAAATGCAGCGAATTTCTTAATCTCCCGCCTCAAAAAGTCAAAAATGCAGTGAATTTCTTAATCTCCCGCCTCAAAAAGTCAAAAATGCAGTGAATTTCTTAATCTCCCGCCTCAAAAAGTCAAAAATGCAGTGAATTTCTTAATCTCCCGCCTCAAAAAGTCAAAAATGCAGTGAATTTCTTAATCTCCCGCCTCAAAAAGTCTAAAATGCAGCGAATTTCTTAATCTCCCGCCTCAAAAAGTCAAAAATGCAGCGATTTTCTTAATCTCCCGCCTCAAAAAGTCAAAAATGCAGTGAATTTCTTAATCTCCCGCCTCAAAAAGTCAAAAATGCAGTGAATTTCTTAATCTCCCGCCTCAAAAATGCAGCGAATTTCTTAATCTTTCGACTCAAAATTCAGCGAATTTCTTAATCTTTCGCCTAAAAATTACTCACGCAATAAAGTGAGGTCAATGAGACTGACTCTGACTTTGTCGTTGTTCTGAATAGCTGTACAGTAGTACCGTCCCTCGGCGTCAGATCCAAAGTTGGGTATAGTCAGGAGAACCGTGTTGTCGCTAACTATAGATCGATCAGGTAACTCACCTCCGTCCTGTTAAAGGGATTAATTTAATTCACTTTGTAACCACACAGTAATTAAATAGTAATTGAATAGGTTAAGTTCATTAGATTTAGAAAATCAAACAAAGTGTAAGATTTAGTAGGAGATTTATCGGCGAATAAGTGGGGCCGGTAAGTAACTGATCATGTGGTATATTTCATCATCCGTCCTGACTAGAAAATGTTTCAAATGGTAACAAAGTTAAGATGCCACATAACCGCTGAAGATTTTAGCAGCAATTAAGCAATTAGTTTGAAATTTGAATCATATCAACTGTCCGACTTTCCAGTTTACCAATCAATCTTTAATTTGGAACGTTAGAGATAAAATAATCGGTAAGTATGAGAATATATTCATCATCGTCTACTGTTATCTGAGGCATGATCGTGTCATCGAGTAAAATGTCTGGTCTGAATCTAGTTTCAATCCCAAAATTGGATTTCAATAACTAATGAGATTTTTCCAAATAAATCAGTGAATTTACAGTGGAAATCACAGGAAGGGATAGCGAAGACCTAATACTTTCAATAGGTATTATTATGTAATGCCGGTAAGGAATTGATTTACCATTACGGACTTGTGAAATGCTGTATAAGGGAACTTATATATTGAATTGCAGTCTCGTGCATTTTCCGCTTCGCAGTAATAATATTTTAGTAATTATCTCAAGTGATTTTTTATCCCAGACGATATCTCTAAACGTTTTAATCGAAATATTGTTTATTGTCTGATCAAATTATCCAAATGGATAGAACCTTTTTCAGCAGAGAAGACATGCGAAAAACTATTTTTTTCAACTGTCGCGTCTTCAGTCTTGAATAATCGATGTATATATTACAACATCAGTGGACTCTAACTTTAATATAGCTTTACATTATAGGTCACTGGGATCCGATTCCATAATAACTTAGAATGAATATCATAAGGACAGACATTCTAAAAATTCTAAAAATCTGTTGATTATACCTGTTAATGTTTTTACAATTCCCATCGATAAATTAGATATTCATATATAAAAAAGAAATGTTACGTACCTTGGACCAACGGATGGTAGGGGTTGGTGTGCCATACGGGATACACTCCAATATTGCCGTACTCCTACTCACAACCGCAATGTTATCCAGCGGCACGTATATGTCCGCGGGTACCTCTTCTATTCTACCTGAGGTATTGGGCGTTAAGATGCGGTTCTGTGCGGTTAAATGAAGTGTTGTGCGGTAATATACCAGTATTGTGCGGTTTTTAGCACAGTGTTGTGAAATTTTTAGCACATTCACGACACTTCTCAAGCAGTCAACCATGGTTGGATGGTTTTGGCTGGGTTTAAAACCGCTACAAAGCTAAGGATGGTAGACACTAAAAAGATTTAAAATTTACTTCACACCACTGCCCAGCCTGATGGAAATATTTGAATGTGAAACGGTGTGAAAAAAACAACTGCATAGTTTTTGTAGAAGTCTGTATGCGTCTGCAATTAATAAGACAACAAGAGCGTCTGCAATTAATAAGACAACAAGAGTGGCTTCTTGACCACTAGCTTGCTATGATCGACCAAATATTCACCATTGTGAGGTTTCACGTAGTATGGGACGGTTTGATGCAGTATTATGCGCTCTTCATGACGTACTGCACGACTTTGTATTGTAAAATTCTCAACATTTTAGATCTCATTATCCTTAAAAGAGACCCACGAAAAACAGTATAATTTCCAGTAATTACAAGAGTGTACCATCACATAACACTGTTCATCATCAGATGATCGTTTGGTTAAGATAAGGGTGATTCAGTGTGAATTAAAACCACACAATTCCTCCATCCTATGTTACTTCCTGTATTATTCCTATATTACATTTAATCGTGTAATAACCGAATCTAATCGTGGCAAGAGTAAATGAAGCTAAGAAAATACCCTCTTTCTTGGAGCACACATTCGCAAACTATAATTGAATTGTCACCCTCTGCTAGAGGTGTTTAACACATGGCCTCCATTGTTCGAATAACTGAGGACCATTGTTAGGGTAAGTTAGTGTGGTTGGGATAACCGGAATATCTGATAACCTCACCCCACATTCTATAAAAACATTACAAGAGGGTCATTCATCATAAGGTCCATTCATCAAGTTCATCAAGTTCATCATTGTTATAATATTTGGAGATATACGTAATATGGGCAGTAATTGTGAGTACAATTATCGGCTACTACAAATACTTGAGTATTATCCATTTATTCACCATTTTATTTTGAGTTAGTCCTGATGAAGTGATATCGAGAGATAATGGAATGGCATACGTCACACATATTGGCGAAACATTTTTGGAAAATGCTACATTCAACCCGTTTAGTACTCGCGGCCTGATAAGTCGTTCAATCGAAGTTTTGTCACAACTTTAAGGAACAGTGTAAACTATAAATCAAAATAAAGTAACGAAAGTTGATGAAAATACCACAAATCACTGTTGGTGGTTTTTATAGCTAATAGTTTTCATCATACTGATGAAAATGGCGATCAAGCGAGTCATGACTACCCACTTTTAACGGTCTTATCGGCGATGTACTGAGTTTTGGGACTCTTAAAACTATTACCTTTCTCCACCAACCTCTAGAATAATCTAACTCTGATCCGTGAGATTTTACCCCTAAAAAGGTAACCGACAAAAAATGATTATTATAGTTACAGAGGTATTTGGCTAGTGTAAGTTACATTGCATAACTCTTACCAAGAAATCTGTACACTGCTATTTCATTGACTGCGGCCTTCTGTAATCAAATAAGCGTTATTATTTAGAATACCCATCAGCCATCTTCAGGTTAATATCAAATTTGATAATTTTATCAAGCTCTCTTTGCATTGTTCACCAAAATGCGGACAGACACCCTAAAAGCACTCTATTGTACGTGCTGTGAGAAAAGAGCAGATACAGTCCCTCCTGTAGAAATATTTCCTGGCTTTTATATAAATTAGTTAGGATACTTTCAGCCATGTTTATTGTTTATGTCTACATCGTATTTGATTTTATCAAAAGTTTATCTGCATTACATATTATCTGAGATCAACCCATATCATGAGTACAGAGGTATAGGGACAGAGGTATATCACATACATAACTACTACATAACTACTACAGAGTACAGACAGTTTTAACATTTCTTCACTGCCCTCCTGTACGGGACTGCTGGAATGGTTACCTGGTTACCTGGTTACCTGGTTACCTGGTTACCTGGTTACCTGGTTACCTGGTTACCTGGTTACCTGGTTACCTGGTTACCTGGTTAGTTAACTACTACAGAGTACAGACAGTTTTAACATTTCTTCACTGCCCTCCTGTACGGAACTGCTGGAATGGTTGAGTTGAAGTCGCCACTTTACAGTTTACACAATATATTCCCTGGCTTTCATCAATACAAGGGCGATCTCACACACGACTCTCACATAACATAAACAGTAAAACACCGGACATTCTTGTAACTTTGTTAAGGGTAAGAAATCTCCACAAATTGTCCCGCTAGCCAAACAGTATGATGTAATACTACATTACCTGCATACCTTACCGGACGGGAAAACGAAATTAGATATATACAGCATAGTATTACAGGTTGTATGTTATGAATATCATCATTGCCAAAATAAAAACCAACCCAAAAAATTAGTTGATTTTCGATTCGAAAGAGTTAAATTCTAAATCATCCATGTCAGATAATTCGTCGGTTTTATTTGTGGTATTTCTAATGCACAATAAAATACCTTACCGGACCCATCTTAGTTGCAATAGTAGCGAGATTTTCGTGATTTAAAGCGGGCTTTTCCATTAACACTGTTTCTATAAGGGCCTGAGTTATACATCTAACATACCGCAGACAGTACATACTTGTAGGCTGAAGATTTTAATAGCATGCAGGTAATACCCTCGACAGAAAGGAGACTACAGTTCAAACTTACAGGGTGACTAAATTTTACTACTTTGAAATGTCTAAAAGTAAAGTTACGAATGTTGGGGGCCGAGTTAACATGTTTGGGTACGGGAGAAAAGCAAAAGTTTTAAAGCGTTTCATTGCTCTTACTAAGAACAATGAAACGTTTTAAAACTTTTGCTTTTCTACCGTATTTCTAAATTTAAAAGTTATATTTTCCTAAGAATCTTAGGAAAATATAACTTTTGAATATGGAAACAAATAAATTCAACAGATTCGTTTTCCCGTTTTTGTTAAAACATTTTTGACAAGCACCAAAACACATCTTTGTCAAGCATTGGCCATGATCTTACTCGCTTTTTTACAAAAGACGTGGAATGATCTAGTTGGTACACCCTAGAAATGAATAATGAATTATTAACCACATAACTCAAACTGCGGTCACGATAGTGGGGAATCATTTCAAAACCACGACAAATTCCTGGCACAGCTACCGTGTTCCCAAACCATTATTGTAACCCAGATATTGTAAAATGTAAATGCTACAATTCATCTCACAAAATATTTTTAACACCACACCAGACTCTCACTACTGATGATAAATCCATATCAGTTTGGCACTTTCTAATCCTTTGTCTCATTGTTCTAGCAAATCAAACAAATCAATCATTCTATTGTCTGGTACACAATAGTCAGGTTAAGAACGCGGTGTGTACTGGATCACATGCGGGTGTATGTGTTCAGAGTGATCGATCAGTTTTATTGTAGCCAGTAATTGAACTGCAATAGATTTCTACGTTTCATTGCACATTCTTTTTATATCATGATATTGTGTACGAGGTAAAACCAGTGCATTTGGGTTGGGTAGATGGTATTATATTCTGTAGAAGGAACCAGAGTGGTGTATGGTAGTATGGGCACTGGTCAGTGATGGAAAAGTGCGGGGATACTAATGATGATAGTAAATGCGGATCCTGACTGTTGCCTGTTGAACCAGACCTGGATCATCATTGGAAGTTTAGATCATCGGTAGCTTTTGAATAGAATTATTTATTTTGAGAAAAGACGAATAATTCAGTTCCTCAGTACCACACTGAAAAATAACCACGCCGACTTAATAAACGCTGGTTTAGCTTCAAAATATCCTGGCTTTTGCTTGAATGAAGTAATTAGGAGGATGAATATTTGAAGTGAAAATAACATACTGGTGCAAGAGGATTACATTTTGCTTTGTGTTCTAGCGTATTAGAATACCTACTTAGGTATTTAGGTAGAGCTATGGTGCCCACTTAAGTAAATATAAAGAGCCAAGGAGATTATATTAATCTGCAGCCGATATGAAGTTACCGTGATCTTCTGTATTTGGTTTGAATGTATAATTTATGACCAACATATTATATATATTTATTTCTGGTATTCACATTTATTCGAAGTGCAAGGTAAGGTAAGGCACCATTGAGGTGCTGTACTGCATACAATTCAAGTTAGTGTTTTGGAGCCAGCGAGAACTGATTATGCCAAAAAAACTGATTTTTGGCAAATTTTAACTTTTTTCCGTGACAGATGTTTTTGAAAATGCCTTACTGTACTACATGCAATTCAAGTTAGTGTTTTAGAGCCAGCGACAACTGATGTTTGCCTCCAGGGGATGGAACAAATTACTGAAAACTGTAGACTTCAGACCTGTAGACAATATTTCAGTTTGCAATTTAAAGATTACCAACAAGCAATTAAACTTAGACTTTATCGCGTGTATCAACACGTTCAAACCTCTAATTTTTCTAGTAGTATGAATTAAATTTAACCCCTTGATACTACAATAAAATTGTATCTGTCTTGCTCTGCATGTTGGCCAGGTCCAAGCCCACAAGCAAACAAGACTTCTGATTGGTTGGATAAAGGACGACTACGATATCCTTGAATTTGGTTGGTCGGCGTGCCCTTCTTGCAAGATTTGATTAGTTTCAAGCAAATTGAGAAGTGATTCCTCGTGTAGTAAAGGAGAGAGGTGGTACATATTATAAACATTACGTTAAGTTTTAAATTTAATTTGGTTATTTTTCAATACTTTTCCTGATTCAGAGGACGGATATAGGAATTATTTTATCAGATAACTAATATTCACGGATAGTAGTATAAATAGCACATAGATCGTTATACACGGACTGGGATTAAATTACTATGATTGTTGGCGGCAGATTTAACCAGTACATCATATTATAGTAGAGTTCTAATTATATAGTTATATAGAATTGAAATGATACTACAATTACACTTGACATTCAATCTTTCCAGGTTGTTCAACAGTTCAAAAAGTATACGTCTGTACTGGAAGTGGAAGGAATGAACTAAATACGTTCGTGAGTAGTGACGCAATCAAAAGTTTAGGGCTGCGAATTGTGATTAATTTAATTATAAGTTTAATCGGAAATCAAATAAATACCTGATTCAACAACGAGTCGAGCTTTATCAGATTCTGATATCGTTCCCATTATCGCATTTCGAGCTCCACATCTGAGGAAACCACAATTTAAATAAAGAAAGTAACATCAGAATTAACAAAGCCTGTGACTATAATACCATCAGCATTATAACAACTTGTCCTGATTAACCGATTAATAAATTGACTGGTCGACTAACCTATAAGTGCCAGAATCCTCCGATTTGGTCTGAGCGATGACCATGGTTCCTTTGAGTTGGGAGATAAACCTTGACTCGGTGGGCCAAATGTTATCAAACCGTTCATCCTCTATCAACTGAGTAGAATACTGACATAAAATTAACTTCCCATTCCGTGAAGATGCTTTAAAGATGCTACCAGAGTGTTCACACATGACGTCATAAGGTAAAAATGGGCTTTTTTGAAATTAGGACCGTAAATGGTCAATTTAATGAATTTTATGGAAATTTTGAAGGAAATTTAACAGCCAGGAGACAAATATATAAAAATGGGAAGGAAGCGTTGTAGTTAAGAGAGTTTTTTATGATTGAAACCTATAAATTCAAATTAATGACGTCATTTGGGAACACACTCTTTAGAAGTAAAACAGAAATTTTTTCATCAAGACGAAAATCAGATCGAGAGATTGACAAAGGTCTGATTAGATGAATATTCCGATTAATAAAAACATGCACTATGTAATAAAATACCGTGATAAATACCATCCAATCAAACTTGATCATCCTTTGAAAGGTATCCAGCAGGGTTCGGAAAGATGCTAAAATCTTGTTATAAATACGACTCTAAATAAGAGATCGCAGTGCGGCATTTTCCCTGCAAATTAAGCAATGCCGCGGACGCCAGAGGAAGGCGAAGCCGAAAGGCGGCAAAAAGACAAAGACCCCAAGAGTTTATTGAGATAGGTGGGCTTGTTTTTTCAGCGTTGAATGATTTGTATGCTTATCATTCAAATCAGCGATCATTGGGGAATCAATAGACCACAAGATTATATTGTGTCAACACACGTGAACACATATCATATTATGGGACGCATAAGTGAACACTTAATAAATGTCATTTAAAATCAAATGGGCACATCATAATATGTGGTCACGTGCGGACATGGAAATTAATCAAGCGGTTCATTAATCAATAGTTACCTTTCTCCAGAAGATTTGAGCTTGGGGCCAAGAAGCTGCAGGGTCAAACTCGCAGTGGATGATGGTTCCTTGCCCGGGGGAGGCGGTGTAGGTGGGGAGAGGGTTCTTGGTGAAGTAATCCTGGTCTTTCAGGAAATCTGGGGAGGAGAGGGGGTTAGAAGTGGGGACTGGTGTGGGGTTTTACTTTGTTATGATTTTTGGTTCAGGTACGAGGTGTTAATTATTGTTAATTAATTAGTGTTAATTATTCTCACGCATCAAAAGAAGTATAATACCCGTAACCCACTATTGATCAAGCGCATTAAGATGCCCTAATATATAATACAAAATGACAGGCGATGAATTAAAATTTGGAAGCAGACAACTTTCACTGAATATATAATATATTGTGGGGTGCCATGAAAAATAAATTGACAATTTGACACCAAAGCACAAGCTGCTACCACGTGACTAGCAACTTTGATTATTTTGCTTCTTGGCCACGGTTTTGGAGGAGAGGTGATTATTGACAAAGAGCGCGTTTAATTGGTGTGGGTAACCACTAACTTCGGTATAGGACCGACAAAAAGCAAGCCGATATGTGTGATTTATCACATTCAGTGGAAACTGTTACACATCAATGTTTTATTTATTTAAATTGGAAAACCGAGAAATATTGCAATTTGTTGAAGATTGTGACACACCCTTAAACATCAAAAAGAAATAACAGATATTCGTGATTTGCGAATGTTTTAATACAAATTAGGGTAAATTTGTTTGTCGATGTTCATTTTCTTCATCTCCAACAAATATGGACAATTTTCAATACTAAATCAATTGCACAATTTTAGAGGGGCTGTAACAAGTCAATATTAGTCGCTTCAAGACATATTTTAGCGGATCTGCCTGACGGCCAACCACCAGTAATAATAATATATCCCAAACCGCAGATAAATATTAATAAATCTTACTATATATAAAGCGAGACAATATATATATATATATCTGTGCCATTTTACTGACACCACGGCATCAACTTTAACAAGACTTTCCACAAAAACTGTAAAAGATATACAACCGAAACTTTTTTTACTGGCTCAAATGTTTTAATGGCCTCCGAATCAGCATGAAAAAATAAAAAATTGGCCAAGGAATAATGATTTTAGAGCCCAAAATTTGGACCCCCAAGTGGTGTCAAAAACGCCAATTAAATAGGTAATAATTATTTTAGTCTCTTGAGTCTTGACACCGTTTAGGGTTATATTATACGGGTTCCTGCTAGTATTAATAAATTGTAACGCGGACACTGGTACTTATAGTGCGGACCCTGTTACCAGGACTCCTGTTACCAGGACTCCTGTTACCAGGACTCCTGTTACCAGGACTCCTTAAATTACGCGGTCTGTTACCAGGACTCCTTAAATTACGCGGTCTGTTACCAGGACTCCTTAAATTACGCGGTCTGTTACCAGGACTCCTTAAATTACGCGGTCTGTTACCAGGACTCCTTAAATTGCCGGTCTTTTACCAGGACTCCTTAAATTACGCGGTCTGTTACCAGGACTCCTTAAATTACGCGGTCTTTTATGGCAATTTTGTTCTTTCTAGAACCGTGCTATGATGAGGTCTCAGTGTAAATGCAATTGTTTCAATCGATTTCTTTGACTGAAGTAATTTTAACATCTTATTGGAGGTAAGAACTGAATTTCAGCACTCGGCAAGACAGTAATTTCAAATCACCTCATCAAATTGAATCAAAACCCAGTATGTCTCACTCACTAACAGTAGGTATTTCAATAAAGAGAATAAATTGTGGGCATCTGGTACACTGAAGACTTATCACCTAGAAGAGCCGATCACCGACCCATGCAAATAAAATCAAGACCCTTTCAGAACACATAATACATGATTAGTGATTCCAGATGAATCATCAAATCAACTATAATAAGGAGCTGCAATAAATTATTGGATCATGAACAGTAAATATCATTTAATCACAATTTAGTGGGCAGGGAAGGCTGCTAGTGAAGCGGACATGACTCATGTCACGTGATCCGTTGTGAGGGTCACGTGATCCGTTGTGAGGGTCACATGATCCGTTGTGAGGGTTACGGTTTGTAACTCTGAAGAGCGCCAGGTTTGAGACAGTAGTGGATAAGATAGTGTGGCGAGGACTGAGGGGAAGTTTAACCAGGTAAACTTGGGCCCGACTTCATATGCCCCCGCCCCCCGCACCGCCCTCGCCCCTCTTCCGAATCATATCCGTCTTTGGTTTTCCCTTTTGCGGATATAGACATAATGAAGTAATGACTAAAGAGAAAGACTTAAGAGAAGGCTGGGTGTTTATGGCACTATGCCAATGACATCGTCGGATACTATTTACCGTGAAAATATTGTGATAGATGTAATTATAGCCTTCGAGTAGATTGAACGTAGTGATATGCCTGTTGGCATTTTGTTCATCTTTGATTTCTGGAACTGCTTCTAAAATCAGTTGAGACCATTTTTTTGAACTGTATTTACTGTAAATCTTAAGGAAAACTAGAAAATAAGAATGACGTGCCATTTCAGCTTTTTCCAGGTACTGGGAAAACATACTGACTAATTGATTTTGTATCGCCCAGTAATACCAAATCCAGGCCCACAAAACTAATGTAAAACCGTAATTGAATTTGATCTAAGATATCATAATGAAATGAAAAAACTGATCTAATTTTTTTTTTCTATTTGTAGAACAACAAAATTGATACGCAACATTGAATATGAAGAATGAAGTCCTGAACTAAGGTAAATCTAATTTTATGGTCCATTTTTATTATGGTTCTAAATTGGATGAAATATGAACCACACCTATATCTCATCAGTTTTGATTATAGATAAGAACAGGTACGTTAAATCCAAATTTATGATAAACAGGAGAACTTACTAGATTAGATCATAATTGTACCTTTTAGGAATTTGAAATATTGTGTTCTGTTCAAACATGATAAAAATAGGACATGACGCCCTTGAAATTTTATTTGACCATACTTTAAACCAATTGCCAGATTATGCAAATACTCCAATATTATGTAATACTTATCGGGACATACTTATCAGGTGATAATAATATATACTAGATAAAATCACTTGTCGCTATGCATTCGCAGAGTAGAATAACCACAAGTCACTCAACTTGATTTTAAAGATTCACTCACTACACGCAATTCTTTTGAATGAAGTACTCATATTATTGGGAAACCAGCTGCTGGTTAGCAACACCCTGGCAACACCCTGGCAACACCCTGGCAACACCCAGATAAGATATCCTGACCCTATCAGTGTCATGGAACTTGGTGTAACTTTAAGTAGCAAGTTATAGGAGACATGGTCTCCCCTGACTAGCAGACCATTCTGACCGGTCTTATACCCGGTTAAATCAGCTGTAAGTTACGTTATAATATAAGAGCTGGTGTGTTATCACAGTGGACTAACTGTTAAAAGCTAAATATAAGAACTCAGCCAGTTGACAATTCAACCTTCGTCCCCATAGTTGTTACACAGTTGTTACACAGTTGTTACACAGTTGTTACACAGTTGTTAGACAATTCTTACAGAGTTCTTACAGAGTTCTTACAGAGTTCTTACAGAGTTCTTACAGAGTTCTTACAGAGTTCTTACACAGTTTATACACAGTTTATACATAGTCCTTACACAGTTCTTACAGAGTTCTTACACAGTTCTTACAGAGTTCTTACACAGTTCTTACACAGTTCTTACACAGTTCTTACACAGTTCTTACACAGTTCTTACACAGTTTATACACAGTTCTTACACAGTTCTTACAGAGTTCTTACACAGTTCTTACACAGTTCTTACACAGTTCTTACACAGTTTATACACAGTTTAAACACAGTTCTTACACAGTTCTTACACAGTTCTTACACAGTTCTTACACAGTTCTTACACAGTTCTTACACAGTTCTTACACAGTTCTTACACATTTTATACACAGTTTATACACAGTTCTTACACAGTTCTTACACAGTTCTTACACAGTTCATACACACAGTTCCATTGAAAGTTGAGGATCAGCTGAGGAGCAAGGAGCTTCAAACAGTGCTCGGCAAAACATGAGCTGTAAGTCCTTAGTAAGAAAAGTCTAGAACGTTTGGCATACGTAATACGCTCAAACAGTGGCCGTCTAAGATCAAACGATCCTTCGGATGAACTGTAATTGGGCAGTTTCCTATTTAGGCAAACAGTCGGCAAATCTCTTTCTTATTCTCATATGAAACCATACTGATAACTTTGTTGCTTTTATGCTATCGACAGCGACAGGGCGTTATACCGAGTAACGCTCTATCGATAGCATAAAGATATATAGGTGAATGTAAGTACTGACTACTAAAAGTAAAGCAATCTTTAAGTTTCTTAGGAAGACGTTTACTTATCAGCTGATGTGTGTGAATTCCCTTTCAGAACTAAATAAAGTCATATTTGGTGGAACCACAATTATTATTCATTTGAGAACTTTCTCACTTTATTAATCAATTATGCTGATTGAAATCCGATCATTTCAATCATGATTCGAAAATCAGACATATTATTTTCGTGCAGGGAACAAATTTAGGGCATACATTCACTGGAATGAATTTTAATCTTAATCAGACGATCGAAATTGTTCTCAAAATTGCGTAATCTCGGTTGTCGAGGAACTCTGACGAAAGTCACAGCTTTCGGCGGGATTGTTAGGAAAATCAGTCTTATTCTCAGTTTGTACTTTGGCGGTGATCTGCAAAGTATAAGTACAGTTCAATTGAACCGTTTCTCGTAAGTTTTAACTCAGGGCGTCATGATCCTAACAAATATGTGTTCCAGGTAGGACATGGCACAATAATTACAATAATTAACATGATAACTATGATTATCACAATATAATTGCACCAGACCATGTAATATAATGGTGGCCTTGTACAAAACCAGTGAATTCAAAACACATAAGCCGATATTCAATTGCTTACACGCTTTCCAAAAATAGAACTGCAAAGAAGAAACTTGTAGCTTAGACCATGTTAAATTGCGGGATAAAAAACAATTGCACACGGAAGTTCGTAATGAATGGGTCGAGCGTTTGTCGGGCACATTTCATTTTTACATTCGGTGTAAGAGCGTTGAAAGTGAATGTATGGCAGTGTGACTTGTGTGTGTGTATGTCTGGTGAAACAAAAACCTAACATATTATAATGGATATTTAACTTCTGCGAAAAATATATATTATCCTGTATGCGGTGACAACTGACTGAAATCAAAATTATAAATAATTTCAAAGAAAAAACAAACGGGCGTTGTTAAAACAGGTGAAAATAGATAAAGATAGATAAGACAAGTGTCAAGTACTCACAAGGCGCAGTCAGCGTTGCTTTACGGGAACGAATAACCCCCATCTTGTTTTCTGCTTCACACGAATACTCTCCGGCATCCTGGAGATAACATTCATATAATAATTCCTGGTAACTTGCCAAACATTCATACAATTCCTGGTAACTTGCCAAACATTCATATAATTCCTGGTAACTTGCCAAATATTCATATAATTCCTGGTATCTTGCCAAACATTCATATAATTACTGGTATCTTGCCAAACAGTCATATAATTCCTGGTATCTTGCCAAACATTCATACAATTTCTGGTAACTTGCCAAACATTCATACAATTTCTGGTAACTTGCCAAACATTCATATAATTCCTGGTAACTTGCCAAACATTCATACAATTCCTGGTAACTTGCCAAACATTCATATAATTCCTATTTCCTGATATCTTGCCAATCGTATCAATATTACTTAAAGATATTCATGATATTATAATCCGACACATTCATACACCTAGAATCAAAGACTTGGATAATGGATATCAGGGGGCCGGCGAAGCACGCATCTTTTCGTCTGTGACAGCAATAATCCTTTTTGATTGGTAACTGCTACTAGTATAGCTTGAGCCGACAATACCTTATCAAGCAAATATTTCTTCTAGCTTTATTATGGTTATGCAACACATATTTTCCCATCCATAATTCCATATGTCAAATATTATGCAAACTGATTGGAATCTTACATAGGACAGTTTTTTAAACCTGGACAACTCGCTCGTCACGACCGTTTAACTTGTTAAAGTGGTATTTTTTCCTAACAACTGTGGCTGAGCTGTAATCACCTCCGCCAAAAATAAAAACTCGATCAATTTATTTGGGTTTTAAAAACTTACAAGTTAGAAGCTTGCTTCAGAGCCTTCTTAATCTAAGAAATTCCTAACATAATTTACATATTATTTAGCATATGTTTTGCATATTATGACCACGTACCGTGTTATGGCGGACACCGGTTATAGTCAGTATTCGGTGGTTGTAAAGGCCGTCCACCGCGGCGTCACTGATGTGTCCCTTCGCTGAAATGACATCCAACGTTACATTATATAAATTTTAACCTATTTTGATAAGAAAATTAACAGCATCAATGAAAAAACCAAAACGTTAATTAGATCATAAATGAAGCGTCAATTTCAATGAAATATTAAAGCCAAAGCTGTTCTTTTAACAAACGATAAGCAAATGGTGTTATTCAATATTTATAATAAATATGTTAACATTCCTAATTCTGAAGATAAAATACCCGAACCATCCTTTGAAAAGTAACACCCCCATTTTAATGAAACAAGAACCGAAAATTTACGATTATAAATAAGTTTTTATAATAATTGGAAAATCGAAAAGTGTGGGAACTCACGGATGAGACGCTGGGAGTCCTTGTACCAGACGATAACGGGGGCTGGGTATCCGCGCGCACTGCACGTGAACTGTACCTGTCCTCCTGTCCTGTTCACCTCAACTGGACTAGGTTCTAACGAAAAAAACGGGCCTGAAAAGAATTTATATATTAGTATATTATTTACTGTTTGAATTATCGGAAATTGATAGTTATTGAGTTAGTGGAAGTTATTAATTAGTTGATGTGTCGGGATGGATATTGGGTGCATAAGTACGAGGTAGTACGAGTGTAAATATAGCCGTGTTAAAGTTTCTTGTAAGTTAAACATTTCTGAAACATGAGATCATTCTTGCTGTAGTGAAAGCAAAACTACGCATCAACATGAAATCATAAACCCACATGACAAAATTACACTAAGTATTCATGTTCGACATTCTTGAATGATACTTAGTGATCATTGCATTAAATAAATTTATAGTCAGTAAGATTAAGAAGTTTAACATCTTTCCTGATGAAATAACTCAAAATTCGAGTCAAGATCTGCAAATTGAAGAATTCAGACTCATAAAACTTGTCATCACTCGCTTCTCCAACAGAAATAAAAACAAGGTAAATCCATCAGTGTAGCAGATGGGTTACTGGCTTCTCCAACAGAAATAAAAACAAAGTAAACCCATCAGTTTAGCAGATAAGGAAAGCGGACTTATCTTACCCGTCACATTTGAACCTGCTGTATATTTCTTTACCGTCCCATGACCAACTTTTTGAGTTGGGCTGGCGACCGTTTTATCTAATTCTGATACGATCAGAAAATCAGACTCATTTCATTTTCATGATCAACTTTACATTCAATTATTAACATAATATGAGAATCTTTGAACAGTCGTCATAGTATTTTGTTCTTGTGAAATTATTTGTGATAAATTTTGGTTTAAATTAATTACACTTGTGGTCTTCCAAAGTTAAAAGTGTACTTAAAAGTGACATCTAACACATTTGGAGTGTATATTTCATCTATCAATCATATTTTAACAATTTATCCAATTATCCAATCACAATATTAATCAATCAATTATCCAATTACAAGATTAATCAACCAATTAAATCCAATTAATAACTTTTTCATAAAATTACCTGACTCGGAAAGAGACAGAACGATAAGTGTCTCAATTAGAACGACATATCGGAAGGCAGTCATCCTCTCGCTGCGACCGCATTTTGTTCACAGAGAAAGTGGGTACCGGAATAGCGGGGAGTCATGGCAACATTCCTTACATTTTATCATGCTAGGTAAAGAGGGAGGGGTTAGGTTATCTGTGGTATTTCTAAACGTAATAGCAAGGTAGATCATAATAATATATCATCATATTATCACAAATGGGCCTTAAGTGCAGTGTTATGTACGAAGTACGCACAAACATACATACACGCACCCATACAAGTCTGTACACTGTTTTGGGTGGAAAATTCGTCAATAAAAGTGGGAAAAAGATTAAGATATCCTCAATTTTATATAGAATATGAGGGAAACCGAACCTAACCTCCAAATTCACTAAGGAATCACAGAAACAGTTGCTACGTGGATAAAAACCAGTGTCAAGTAGACTAATTTCTAGAGTTATAATTTTAATTGCGGACATAAGGATGAACCTTATAAAATGTAAGGGAAGCTTAATTGGAGCTTATTAGAATTTAAAGTGGGCGATGACACACTGAAAGAATAAACAGGGAATTGAGAGCTCGTGCAATTATAACATGTAACCACATAGCAGGGGAGGAGGAGGGGAGGAGTAGGAACAGAGGGGAGGGGAAACAGGGTGTAGAGGGGAAAGAGGGGGTAAGGGGTAGAGGGGGTAGAGGGTGTAGAGGGGGTAGAGGGAAAGAGGGGGTAGACTGTAGAGGGGGTAGAGGGGGTAGAGGAGAAAGAGGATGTAGAGGGGAAGAGGGGATAGACGGGAAAGAGGGGGTAGGGGGTAGAGGGGGTATAGGGGTGGAGGGGGTAGAGGGGGTAGAGGGGGTAGAGAGGGTAGAGGGGGTAGAGGGGTGGAGAGGGTGGAGGGGGTAGAGGGGGTAGAGGGGGTAGAGGGGGTAGAGGGGGTAGAGGGGGTAGAGGGGGTAGAGGGGGTAGAGGGGGTAGAGGGGGTAGAGGGGGTAGAGGGGGTAGAGGGGGTAGGGGTAGAGGGGGTATAGGGGGTAGAGGGGGTAGAGGGGGTAGAGGGGGTAGAGGGGGTAGAGGGGGTAGAGGGGGTAGAGGGGGTAGAGGGGGTAGAGGGGGTAGAGGGGGTAGAGGGGGTAGAGGGGGTAGAGGGGAAGGATGAAGAAGAGGAGCTCTTTTACGACAACTCAAGCAAACTGATGAAATGGTTAGAAGTCTCAACTTATATACTGGGACCTGGGTCTTTGATAAGGCAGGGGGAAGACAATCTATGAAGTTATCATTTCAAGGGGAGCGGCTTCATTATTCAAAATGCAGGCCCTTTGTGATCGCCTGTTGCAATGCGGGGGACAATAATTGGAAATACTAATTGAAAAGCTGCAGATCCCAATAATACTGCAATACAATTACACACAAACTAAGAACTGGTGCAACCATCTATGGTGCAACCAACTATGGTGCAGCTGAGAGCTGAACACGTGACATTAACAAAGCAGAGGGTATGGCAGGGACTAGGGAGTGGAAGTAACAAGTGTCAAAACTCTGGAAATCATCGTGTGATTACCACCTTCGTGTGAGTCCGAGTCAACCAAATGAATTTACAATCTCAAAACTCGTGAGGGGTGTTCTGAAATACAGTTAGGAGCTTCGGTGACCTGAGGCGGCGGGTGGCGCTCGTTAATTTCTGTAAGTAAACAAATTATATTAAATTTAATGATGCGTAAATTGAAAATAGACTGTCGATTGCCTAGTCTATTGAATAGGGAGAATAGTAGGGAGATCTGCACTTCTTTTATTATCGTGAACTTCTTCTTTTCTCAAGAACGTGAGATTTACTTATTTATAAGTAAGGTACTGTATTTCTATTATAATAAATTCGTTTGAAAGTTAAATAATTGTCCTAATTATTTCTTGCAGACCATGTGGAAAATATTGACAAAATTCTGCAAGAAAAAATGACGATAAGGAAATCCCATGTTCTCGAGAAAAGAAGAAGTTTAAACCTCCATTCTATTCGCGATGAACACAGACCTGCACAAATCTCAAGTTCTTAAAAATACATACGTTCTGCAGATCTCGAATAATGTTAATACAGACGCGTTCTGCAGATCTCTATTTCTGATGAACGCAGAAGTGCACAGATCTCAAGTGAACGTCGCCGAAACGTGAACCCAGTGACGAAAGACCGTGTCCGGCTCGACTAAGGCTCAAAATCACGAAGCAGCAAAATCCAGACATCCCGGCAGCCTACCATTGGAACATGACCAGACACGTGACCCTTCACTGACCCGTGAGTGGCCAGTGGGTCTGCGCTGGCTGAGGTAATCCTATATAGGACGAGGGGATGACGGTGGGGAGCGTACTTTATGTTGTAATCCCCAGGAACGGGTCCGACCAACCACAAACCGATACCTCATCTCACGGGTCATGTCAGAACCAATGAGAGGGCGTGAAAAGCACGTGACTCAAGTATGTGGAATTGGTGTTTAATACAATCAAGAGGGGATTTTAATAACCCACTCCCTGTAGTCCAGTGAATAGTGGGAGAGAGAAGAGTAGTAGATAGTTTCTACTGGTCCCTTTATAAGGAGGTTTGAAATGGAGCACAAATTGCTGGGGGGGGCTAGGTATCAGTATCACACGTGTAATCTAGAGGGTGGGATCAAGAGGATGATCTAGTCGAAACAGCTGAAAGTGAGACCCTTGTCCGGTCCACCAGGATAGATTTCATTAAAATAGTGAGCTGAGACTGAGAATAGACCGATAGTGCGGTTAATTAAATCAAGGTCAGCCTGCTGCTGCTGCTGATGAAAGTTAAGCTATTGAAAACCACTATGACATGTTGAGTGGTGACCGCACGAAAATAGTCGGGTGGTTTTCTGTTCAAGATATATCATTGTCAGCAAAGTGGTTGGAGATATTGGTTGATGCTACGAGGAGAGGCCTGTGAACCATTTAGGCATATTTAAAAAGGAACGTATATATCAGCGGTATGGTATAATCTTACTATATATAAAGTGAGACGATATATAATATGTGTTTATCCTTACCATTTTACTGACACCACGGCATCAATTTTAACGCGACTCTCAGAAAAAACCGTAAAAGATATACAACTGAAAATGTTTTGACTGGGTCAAATGATATAATGGCCTCCAAATAGGCACGAAAAAAAATAAAAATTGGCCAAAGAATAGGAATTTTAGAGCTAATACTAAATCTGTATCGCACGTATTGTTTTAAAAAATAAAAATATTAAAAAAGCTTAATTTTTTGCTGATAGAAAACGGGCCTTTTTAAATTAAAATATTAATATTTAATATTATCTTATAAGTTAAATTTTCGAAACCAAGTCAGAACGTGAATATATTATGAAACAACCGTACTACTGGATGCGCACTGCTGAAACAGTTCGAAATTAATCACATAACATTTAAATATGAAAATCGATTAATTTAAATGAGAAAATCATGGATTAGTATACGCGTTCTGTTCGAGAACTCCAGAATTAGTTATATACTGTAAACTGTAACATGAAAATTAGCTATCTTTGAGAAAATCGGGGAGAGACGAGCCCGGATTCCTGCCTGCAAAGCTTCTTAAGTATACCGGCATGATTATAATAAAGTTTAAACGGCTTAATTGGTAAAGGAACACGGCAGTCAGCTATACGGTAAATATACACCTCAAAGCAGCGCAGCTACAAGCAATTATAGTCCTCTCTGTTTAAGTGAACGAAATATAAATCATTAAAAACACCGACAAACGCTGACTTCGAGTTCAAGGGTTGATGATGGCACCTTCATGTAGTTTTACGCACGCAAGTTGTGATACAACTTTAAACGGACACTGTATTAGTGCAATCAGTGAATTAGAAGTTCCCAACCGAATGTTCTCTTTATGGCAATGAGCTATAATACAACGTATGGTATGACTATGAAATTTACGGTAGAAAACTGTGCCAGAGAGTCAGTTGAAGTGTCGTTAAACCTGGTTTGACGAAAAACGAGGTTCAAAGTGTGGTAAACAAATTAGATACCATTTGTGGAATGGAGGGTGCACATTGCACAACGGTCTATGTTGTCAGCAGCCTGTGTAAGATAAGGGTTACAATTGTGGATTTATTGCTTCTGCAGTGTGATTTTAAAATTCTTCAGAGAAATAAAGATTACAGTTCTTTTGTAAATCGTAATGAAAGCCGTCGTACTAGCGTATATTTTGAAGTTAACCTAATATGTCATATATCAAGTTACTGATTTAATGTGTTAATGTTAAAAGGTAATGTTTTACAGTTAGACAGATAAGCGATCATGCAATAAAACGGTGCATTTCACACGTTTTATCTCATATTCCTCCCTTTTCCGCACACTAAACGAGTTATTTGACAACCCGACATAAGATGTGTTGAATGTTATTTCTTTTAACAACTTGTTGAACAAATTAATACGACGTCTTCATTGGAGTGGAAAATTGATGATAAAAATTACGAGTAAACTTATTACGATCGAGCCCCAAAAGAATTATATGGCAATCCAAAATAAACTTATCCCGCATATAAGTACAGCTCCAACAAGGTTAATTAATCGTGTAACATAAACTTGTTCCCAGGAAAGTTGCTTTTACGTTTAGTAATCACATCATTGGTCAGAATCCTATCACAGACAGTCCTTCAGACGAATGAGTGATACTATGAGTTTAGATTGAAATTGGCTAATCTCCTCTGAATTGAATACAAATAACACACGTTAGTGCCGACGTTTCGCCTCCATGGCTTCTTCAAGGCGGAACAAAAACTTTGTTACATAGTGACCTCAATAAATGTAATAGATTTGTAGTGTTGTAATTAGTTTAAAATTAAATTAAAATTAAATTAAAATGAGTGATACACTGATACGGCCAAGAAGACAAAAAATAGGTTTAATCGATCTTTAAACGTATTATTGAAGTGCGGCAACCTCCTGTGTTGAATCTGTGTTACAATTAAGTCTTATATTCAAATAATATCTTGCCGTTTGCTAACTTATATTTAAATAATATCTTGCCGTTTGCCAACTCCTTATCTACTACAACTGCGTGCTTGACTACCAAGAGAAACAAACGCTAAAATCGTATTTAATGTTGACTTCGTGAGCGGGCCACGGAATCAAGAAAGATGAACTACCAATTAACTCAAACTTGTACTCTCAAAGTGGCTCAATTTGAGAACTTGCTTAAAAAGACATTATTTCTTCTGAAGTAAGTTTAAAAGATTGCAAGTATGAGGTGTAACATCTACACGTTCTAAAGTGCGTCATGCACAATGCGTGTTTTAAATAGTACGGGACGTAAATAGATTGTTGGGTGGGACAATGTATGCAAGTGGGACAATGTCTGCAAGTGCTTGACCATCATGTTAAGATACTGTATAAGAGGACAATCATACCCTGTATTAATAATGAATATGGGACTCAGATTGGGAGTATAATAGTTGGGGTCGATGGCAAAAACACTAAAAATCTGGAACCGATACGTTGAAGAGAAGTTAAATTTCAGGGTAAGCAAACCTTTCAGAAGGGAAAAAGCGTTGGAAAAACATATCGCAGATAGAGGAAGTTCACACTTAAACTTTTCAGAGTAATTTGTTAATCCGTATAAACAATATTTTATCAACACTCACTGAAATAGAGCCCAAGAATTGAAAATTTAAATTTAAGTTACTTTAGCTCATGCTACAAATATGCTCATTAGGGGTTGCTGAGTAATACTAATGTGGTTTACCACAAACGTTTTAATTCCTTACTTAATATAATATGAATATGTAATTTGAAACATTTCATATTTGATCCAGGGATAACAATATGATATGGAATATTTTAGACAGGTCACCGCGCTACCCATCCCAGTGTCATCCCAGTGTCAAGCTGTTTTATGATCAGTGACACTCCTTTTAAATCGTATCTTTAGATCACGAAATAAGCGACTAATTAAATGCAATACGGTAAATAGAGTAAGGATTTAAACTTACTTCAGATATATAATACCACACAATTTTAATAAGAATAACAACTATTAACGAATTAATTGCACATGGGTTATGTATTACATAATATATATAGGTCGTTTCACAGATTCATCCGAATGTCAACGTTTTCATCGCAGAAAATATGGCATATTCGCAGATTCAGCGTGCATAATATTTTACAAGATTAGTTGAACGAGAAAATAAATATTTGATTGGAAATGTGATTCAGACAAGTGTGGCGAGTCCAAAAAGCAAGGCTTCAAATCTAGGCTTTCTATAAATTTTGGTTCCTAATTTTGGTTATCAGGCCGGCCGGTGCTAAAAGATCTTATAAGCGACCAATTCGATCCTTACTGATAAAGTACAAGTAATTCCAGCAAAGAATACCCAACATTTGAAACGATATGACGACAACAAGCAAAAAACTGTTTACTTCACAACAAGGAGCCCGGGTGGTGACGCAACATAACAATACCACTCCAGTGATCCCAATTAAAGCGCACAAAAGTGCATCGAATAATACCATTAGCTGAGATAACTACAGACAACTAGTAGCTCTCTAGCTCTACACACACATAGACCTTTATAAATAGCACTATACTGTGGGTTATCTTGTACAACACCCTTATTAGTAGAGGGGAATAGAGACCGGTATGGAATCTAAAAACCTTAAAAACTGTCTCCTTTATTTCAGTAAGTGAACTTGAGGATCTCCGATATTTTCTCAGTCATATTATAATCCCAGTGGAGGTTGAACGTGTGTTAACAAGACTTAATCAGAACGATTAACGAAGGAAAAACGAAAACGAATATTTTCATATTCACAAAAAGATGCTTCTTTAATTCTTAAGAAAACTAGAGAAGGAATGAGACGACTGCTTGCAGCAACGAAAAACTATTAAAAGGGTGTGTTGAGGTAATATTGGGTATGTATTGTGCAACATAAGGGACCGCGACCGCCCGGACCAATAGAAAGCCACTACGTAATGGGAACTCGAAGTTTCGTCAAAACTGAATCTTTTGCTGTTTGTATTGTTGCGTCTGGCATTATGCCAGTGAGCAATACACCAAAAGACTAATATTGGAGTCAGCAATATCAACACTACACAATATTAGGAGAACTACCCATCTCTAGGAGGGAATAAGTAAGAAAGAGTGCGCATAAACAGAAGAGTAGATGAAATTAAGTGAAAGTGTAAGTGAAATTATCTCGTGTCAAAAAATAAATCAGCACTGAAATAGAACTGAAAACAAGAGCGATATGGTGTGCTATATTATGAAGTAAAGAAAGGATGTAAAGTTATGAGGTATCTTCCAGGCATATTTCAGCCACGTGATCCACCACATGGTGTGTCACATGATCTACCACGTGGTGCGTCACGTGGTGTGCCAGGTGGTATGAAGGACAATACGGTTACGGAAACTGAGCTACAGTTGAGATAGCGACCAACGCTTGCTTGTGTCACTTGACAGTGAAGTGAAGTAGCAGCAGCCTCGTACCACACGAACTGTCAATTCCCTGTGAAATGGGGCTGGGTCCTATGTGACGTGGTGACTGTATTAGTACAACTACTAGAGTACTATAACTAAGCTCCAACTACTACAGTCTGATTCATAATAGACGATATATCTCAACATCAAAGTTTGTCTGTGTGAACCCACTGTCTATTGCTCTACTTAAACGACCATATCAGACTTCATATCAGACTTCAGACACCACTCACTTCAGTCCTCCCCTGAAATAAGGGAAACGGGACAATTGGCTGACAAAGAAAACACAACAAAGAAACCAGACAACAGCTAGCCAACTAAAAGTACAAATAAAGCATGTCGTCCACTGTCCAGCACTTACCAAGAACCTGTCTATTTGGTGAAAGTGGAGCAAGGTTTTCTTTGAACAACACAGAGCATTTGTCGTGTGCATATAATAGCTCCAAAAACTCGAAACTTCTCGAACTTATAGTTAATGAGCAATTTAATCGGTCATATTGTTCGGCATAAAGCCACATTGTATGCCACATTATAGTTCGGCATCAGGCAATATATGAAAATAACAGTCGATGTTACAAGCATTGAAGCAATAACGGTATAGGTTCACGCGGTGAAGTAGTACTATAAGCGGCACGTTAAATGTAGGGTCCGTTAAATGGCTATTATTGCCAGATCATGATAATAACGGTTCTGGTAGACAATATGAGACAATATGAGAGAGGGAAGTATACAGTGATAACCGTTTCGAGGCAGATAAGAATTTGAGAGAGATAAGATCGTACTGACACCCATGTGATCTTATTTTGTTAAATAGATATTACTAAAGTAGATATTACTGAAGTAGATATTATTATTACGTAGATATATTATTACGTATGATCATGGCACGTAAGTTTGCTGTAACGATTACTGCACTAGAATCGTTAGCCTTAAGACCTCTTCAGAGCTATTAGTGGCTGGTGGTTTGCTCGGAGTACCCAACTTCATGGGCAGTACCAGGTCACGTGACATTGTGGCGTGACGTCATGTCACGTGGGTCGTGGTGGCCGGCAATCTGTAATAATATTGGAATATTTGGCTGATGACTGACGTAAAGGAATGGTAGGTTCATAAGGGATGGGTCAAAATGAAACATTCGTATTGTTGTAATATTATGTTGATTGCTAATCAGAAATGGTCTAGTGTAAAGTATTCAGTACAAAATTATAGGACTTTTAAAAGCCCCATTGAAGGAATACACCTTCAACATGAACTTGTCAATGAATTGGATAAAGTACAAAATGATAGACTTACCGAAAAGGGGCTCAGTTTAAACTAGAGGACGACACCTAGGGTACAAAAGCGTGCCGGCAGCCGTTCTAATGTCAAAAACTATGGACATAGCAACCTCTGACAGGATTACGGAAGATAAGTGTTTTAAGCTAGTGTGCGTTTCTCACACGTGAACATTCTTTATGCCTGATACGAGGAGATAAGCACGTGTGATGTGCGCGTGTGCACGTGCTGGTTTTACAGACATATACCCACGTGGGCAGTAGACGGAACACGTACTTCAGGTTCTGTTTATTATTCGCTAGCTCGTGCTATTTGTTATTTAATGCGAACATAATATTTTAGACTACTGATATCATTATTATTAAATTAAAGTCCTTCAAATAATATAACTAAATATCAAAACTACTGATATGTGTACTATTTTGAGGAGTATTAATGGTAGAATATTTTACCCACAAATGATTCATTAGTCGGAGTCAGATTGGTTCGCTCATGGTATAAGCAATAACAATAACAACTGAATTTGTCAAAGTAAATTCAACCAGAAAAGAGCAGTACAATGGAGTACGGATAAAAGTTACATTGAATTATCGGCATAGGGAGGAAAAATAATAAATAAAACTATAAAAATCGTCTAGCAAAATCAAGGATATAATAATATTCTCAAACCTAAGGGACCATAACGTGATACTTTACTCCGTTTATAATATTGTGGTGTAGAGTTCTATTTCGTTACGAGGCTGAGGAGTTGTATGGGACCATGTCAACGCACAACCAAACCTTATTAAAACCAGAGGAATGCATTAAATGTCACGTGCCAGAGCTTTACCTACATGATGGATTTGGGCCACTTTGCGAACCAAAAAATGAGAAGTAAAATATTGAAATGTAAAAATCGTGAGATCTAGCTTGACTGGATACGTATCAGACTGGTACCAACCATTAAGTCATTTCCGATATTCTCAATTGTTGAATTGTATGACCTAGTACCAAGTAACAATTTATGCCGCTATTATCCTTTGTAAAAACCGCACCAACAATTTCAACCAAACCTCATAAAACCTA